GTGTGTGTGTGCGTGCGTGCATGCGTGCGCGCGTGTGTGTGTGCGTGTGTGTGTGTGTGTGTGTGTAGGTGTGCGTGTGTGTGTCTGTATTTATGTGAGTGCGTGAGAGCGCGCGTGTGTGGATGCGCGTGCGTGTGCGTGCGTGCGTGCGGTGTGGGTGCGTGCGTGTGTGTTCGTCTCAGTGCGTGTTTGTGTGTGTATGCGCGTGCGTGTGCGTGCGTGCGGGTGGGTGTGCGTGCGTGTGTGTTCATCTGAGTGCGTGTTTGAGTGTGTATGTGTGTGCGTGTGTGTGTGTGTGTGTGTGCGCCAATAAAACGGAGGCGGCGGATAATGGAGATGTGGAGGCGGAGGTGAATGCAGCGTAGTATGTGGTGAAGGCGGAAGAGAGGATTTTGTGGAGAAGTCGGAGATAGTGGAAACGGGGAATTGTGTTGGAGGCGGAAAGAATAGTGACGGCGCCTGGTGGTGGCGGCGGAGGGAGCGGAGTTTATTGTTGAGGCGGATGGAGCAGAGTTTATGGTGGAGGCGGAGGTCGCGGAGGTGTAGAACGAAAGCTTAGAGAGGGTGCGCTGGTAGATGTGGAGGCGTAGGTGTTAGAGGTGTTGGTGGGTGCACTGGAGTGCAGTAAAGTGGTTGCCTCGTGAGGGCAAGTGAGGCTCATATGAAGGACAGTTGGTTACAGCGAAAAACAGTGTGGCTGGTAAGTGGATATCGATACTGCCCCTAAAGATGTTACTACGAGGTTATTCATTTTTCCGAATATCAGCTTGGATACCTATTGGTACTAGAGACAAAGTGAAAAGAACTTTTCTTTTGTGACGGTTACATCATAACTAACAAAACAAACCCAAACTCGGCATACCTAGCTCTACTAGTCCAGGTGTTACAGTGTTAGATACCGAAGTACACCTTCAGGTCACTTCAGCAAGTACGGAGGTAAGGACTCATCATAACTAACAAAACGAGCCCAAACTCAGCACACCCAGTTCTACTAGTCCAGGAGTTCCACTAGTAATCCCGAATTACATTTTGAGGTCACTACATCAAGACCGGAGGTAAGGTCTCATGATAATATCTCATGTAATAGTTCGATTCTATACTTATCAATTTTGTAAACGCGTCCTTAAAAATCTTGATTATGAAGATGTAGAAAACATGTTAACTGGTTTATGGTAAACACACACATACACACACACACACACACACACACACACACACACACAAACACGCAAGCGCGCGCAAACATGCACACATACGCACACGCACAAACGCATACATACACTCACACACGCACACTGCCGCACACACACGGACACACACAAACACAACAGTGCACACATGCACACCCATTCGCGCGCGCACACACACACACACACACACACACACACACACACACACACACACACACACACACACATAAACACGCAAGCGCGCGCAAACATGCACACTTGCGCACACGCACAAACGCATACACACACTCACACACGCACACTTCCGCACACACACGCACACACACAAACACAACAGTGCACACATGCACACCCATTCGTACACACACACACGTACACATACGCACATGCACACATATGCACACAAACACACACACACAGACACGCGCGCGCGCGCGCGCACGCAAACACGCACTCAGACGAATACCTTATGTCGCCGTTGCCACCACTTCCGTTACAAGAAGGGGCGTTATCGAGTAATTCGTTAAAAAAAAAGTCGTTTATTTCGACCACAAGGATGTTAGTAATAATACAAATCTTAAAACTAATTTTCGTAAAATTAAAACTATTTACCTAATTTTAAAACTATATATAAGACAGGACCGATTAGTCAGCACGTGCACCATATGATAATGGTTCAGGTACTGACCTCAAACCTGTCAGAAAATGCCCTCAGGATACCATTGGAACTGGCCCGCAACCTGCGCACCAGGGATATCGTTTACGCATGGTGGTGTAGAAACAATCCACACGCGCATCCGCGAACATACCCGGCGCATTACAATAACAAGGTAGACCAAACAGCACCCTGAATGCATTACATAACACGCATTTAATCTGTAGCTTGTACCGCCAGTCGAGTCGAGTCGAGTTCTCATCAGATGTCGATATTTCGAGGTCGTAGGAAGCTATTCTGGCTATTTGTGTGTATGTGCGTCTGAGTGAGTGAGTAAGTGTGTGTGTGTGCGTACGTGTCTGCATGTGCGATTGCGTGTGCGTGTGAGTGTGCGCGTACGTGTGCGCGCGTGTTTGTGCGAGTGCGTGTGCGTGTGAGCGTGCGTGTGCGTGGGCTTGTGTAAGTGCGTGTGTATGTGTGTGTATATGTGTGTGTATGTATGTAAACGTGTAAACAAACATCTCATAACTTGGTAACGTAGTGTCCGATCGAAAAGCGGTTTGCGGCATCTGAAAGAGTCTCTGAACTTAGACTTTTTGCCCTGTCTTCTACGTACTAAGCCAAATTTATTAAATTTTCGTATTTTTATTATAAATTACTATATATTTGTGTACGTCAATGGTCATCAAAATAAAGTGTTCCTTTCATTTATTTTAAATTAAATTCCCTTAACAAAATCCGAGCTGTTCCTGACAATTCTATATTTATCCTCATTGGCTCGACTAAAAATCCGATAGATGTTTTCCATTTTATTCCTCAAGGGTAGCTAACACGTGCAATTGACACTTCGTAAACGACTGACTAAAGTGATAGTGCGCTAATAACTTCTATCAAGTGGGTTGTATATTTATTATATCTTTTTATATTTTATTCACTTCAAAAAAGAGGAGGTATTAAATTCGACTGTATGCTTTCTTTTTTTATTTTACCTCAGAACTTTTCTCTGGGTAAACCGATTATGATGATTCTTTTTTTAAGCTATTGCATAGCTTTTATAGCGGGCCTTAAGCGTGGCGATCGAATCAATAAATTCTGTAACGAAAATAAACCTAAGACCCCAAAACCTAACATCGTCTAACGTCGTTTCAGTTCCGAAGACTTCGGCACGGTGTTTGTGTGCGTGCGACTAGACGTATGCGTGTAGATTAGTTGCATGTATTGTAAGATAATAAAAATATTTTAAACAATAATATGGTTTATTGCAAGAAGCATATTCTTTGGATTTATATGAGTCGTCGTCATGCTAGCAACTTTCGTGAATTTAGAGTATTTAGTAAACACAGACTTTATAGAAAATTATCGTTTGTCGGAAGAACTCGTTAATTACCATAAACCTATAGTTTCAATGATAATAATTCCTGAATAACCTACATGTATTGTAAAAATATTTTAAACAATATTAACTTCTCATTTATTCAATAAAAGAAAAAAAAATTGTTTTCTTATCGGTCACCACGCTCAAAAAGTGTAACTTTAATTAATATTAAAGAAAAAACTTGAATTATTATCAAAGAAAAAAACAATGACAAAAATACTGCATAAATAAAATAATTAAATAATTATTATTGCATAAGTTGATAAAAATGCTATGAAATAGCTTTACTGCGGCGGTCCCCGAGTGCCAGACGTATTTTTTAATCTGAAAAATTATATAAATAAATTTAATTACATATAAGAAATTTAATCCAGATCTGACTAGTAGTTTTAAGTTATCTTTAATAATGTGTATTTAATTGACTTCAATATATTGATTCGGTCGTGTTGAAGTCGGTTGTGCATAATAATACAATTTTTAATTTCACCACTTCTTATAAAGTGCGACGCATAGACACATATTTAGACCCTGATCCAGCTCGATTTCCACGTCAAAGTATTTATTATATTTCATACACACCATATTATGTAGACAAATTTTTATTTAGCTATTGTAGAAAGTTTATGCTTAATCTTAATGGACTAGCCATTAAAACCCTGTGCCATATTTGTCTTTATTTTCTATCAACGCTTGATGTCGATAATTTTGTACCATACTTTGACGAAAATTTGCATAGAACTGAATCGACAAGTACAAAATATATTTATCGATTTTTATAAAGTACCTTAAACCAAAAAAATACTACTACTCCATTCAAATTAAACCAGTTTTTACAGATTTTATCACGTATAGAACACACTGTTCACTTAAAATACAGAAATGAACTATACTTAAAAAATAATATTAACAGTATTTACACAGTCGCACGCATTATATAATTTATGTGGTTTTATGTTTATATATTCTTAATTAATTTGTTCCACTTTTATTTTCTTAATTTAATCTTCGTATGTATTATAAAATGATAATCCTTTCATAATGTGAATATTATATTAATAGAATAATCATATGTTTAAAATTGCAAATATTCAGTTACAAAATGTTATCAAATTATTATATAAAAGTACACTTTCACATATTATATTTTTATTGTTATAAGATCTCGTCCGAGGCCGTCAAAGAAGTTTGTTTTTGTTACTACCGTATTTACTTATTTTATATTAGTTCTGTATGCCAGCGGCGTTTGTGTATCAGTTACATTATATCGTTTTGTAGCTATTGTGAAAGTATATAAATAGACAGTACACCATCACGAATATGCTTGATGCAAAATTCCGAAACCAGCCACAGCAGCGAGACATCTGCTACTGCGACTGTTAATTCACCATCTAAACGTCCTTTCTAAAGTGGGAGAGGTACATGTCTAATATAGGACCGTTGTGGACTGATAAAGACCAAATGAGGGAAGAATATTTTTAATGAAAATAACTGTTTTTTTGAATCTCATACAATTTCTAAAAGAAATACATTTTAATTTGCAAAATTTTAATAAAGAAACTACATCATTACAACCGACATCGCGCATAGGCCTCGACCAAGGAATGCACGGTGCTGAAGCTCCTCTTTTGCTCCTACTTCTTCTATCGACTTTTGCAACTTGGTTGGTTGGTCACTCCATCTTATGTGGTCTGCTACAAACATTGCACAATAATAATACAATAACGACACTATATCGGCTTATCCTAAGCCGCTACTTTAAATCTAAACTGTCCATTTTTAGCAAGTGACAACCGACGACAGCATGAGTGACGACGTTTTCGAAGAGGACACGCTGCGTGCGCCTGTGCAGCGCAGCACCCCCTCCCCCACCGGCTACCCGGACTACCGGCCACCCGCTGAAAAGTCATCGCGCTCCCTGCTGGACGAAGAAATGCCTATTCACAAGGTATGTGTAATTTATCCAAAAGCTTTGTTTGCTACAAAAGTAAACTGCGACTAATTTTTTTAAACCATAATTAATCACGTTTTAAACTTATTAACAATTATCATTCATTCATTCATTTATTCATTCATTACAGCATACATGGCTTGCCTTATATATTAGCGTATATTTGCCATAGTTGACTCGTTTGGCAGGCGGGCCGGCAATTTGAGTTAAGGTTGACTCACGCTAGACCGAGTCGGGTCCGAGCCGAGTGTCGACCGGAGCACGGTCACCGAGCCGGTCCCGTGCCTGAAATCACAAACCCGGACCTTGACCGAGTAATTACCGTTGCGCCGTGATGCAGTATACTCGTCCGAGCAAAAATAGTGTTATTACTAGACTACACTCAAGTTGCAGTTTGACGATGTGGAAGTAGCGGCGAATGCAATCGCTCTGGACGATGAAGAATCTGATAATACTAATAATAATATATATATTCACACTACACAACGCCATCAGTCGCTAAGCAGAGCTTGTGTTATAGACAACTGATAACTATATATTTTAAATCTTTTGATATACACCCGACCGATGTACCTTTGTCGGTGGGTGAAACGGCATAGCAGTCAGGGTACTACCACTAGACCAACAGGCCTGTCTGTCTGTGTGTGTAGCAGGTGTGTGTAATCTTCAACTACAAGCCGGGACTGAGTAGTTGCCGAGCGCCGTCCGTTGCTCGGCCGTCATTCAGTTGCCGCTCGGTAAAGCGTGAGTGTGTCCATACGAGTACAAAATATATGTAATATTATTTTACCGTGCTATGGCCGACACTCGACTCGGACCCGACTCGGTCTAGCGTGAGTCAACCTTTATACTGTTTAATGAGGTTTATCGGCTAAAGGCATTGTCAGGTGATAACACAGAAATCGTCTTATTATTACGATTTCTGTGGGTTATAAATTCTTTATAAAATGAAGAAAATCGAAATGCTACCTTCAAGGGCGCGAGGTACTGATCAATGATATTTTTTTCAACCATAGCTTATAACTATTTGTCAATATCATTGATTTTTCAGAAAAATAAAATTATTTAATATTTTATAATTTTACAATGTACTCGCTTTAATACATGTAAATACTATAAAAAATTACTTAGTTTATGTTTATTTCTGTAACGAAGAAAAGTCTAATTAGGAAACCTTGAAAATTCAATTTTATTATTAAAGACAAAATTAATGCCTTGCAGTCTGCTGTAATCAGCAAATACGAAACAATTTAAAGTAACAATAGTAGGTATACTTGGGTACAAATCGATGGACGTGAGCTTTATATTCTTAACAAAGTTTCGTTCATCGGGTTGTTTTTTCTGTTTTACTGTTTACGTCAACGTTTCAAAGAGAAACGACAAAGTATTAACAAAACTCAATTGATTATCATTCATTTAGGTATTTCTGTATTTTTTATATCAAGATAATGTTCTTCTAACAAACATCAAATATGAAACCTTTGTCTGAAAAGGAGAAGATTTTATCTCTATTTATCGTATCATGTGAAGTTTAGGCTTTTTCTTTCTTGCTTGCCTTTGAAGCGATTCACATCCAAGGCATAATTGGTTGCTTAAAATATAGTATACATAGTTTGAAAAGCTGCCGCTGCTGCTCCATTGCGTGTTGGTCAGTGGACTTCATATTTCATCAAACTATTTAATTTCTCAGAATGCAGGTTCCTTACAATGTTTTCCTTCACCGCTGAGCAAGTGGTAAATCAGCATTTAAAATTTCAATTAACCATGACATTGGTGCATACGGAAATCAGACTTGGCTTAGTGTGAAAACGGAGAGCGCTTAAACTCCTGAGCAACAAGCATAACTCCCCTCATTACTCTACTATTTTATTAGAAAATAGAATAAAAAAATAATAATATTAATATCCTCCAGACCAAATTTCGGCCACGGCGGCCAGCCTCAACGGAGACTAGCCATCGGCGCAGGCAGAATTATAGTGCCCAAGTGTATGCGCAAGCACAGGTGCACACTCTATTCCCTTACTGTCATAGTCCGATGAGACGGTAAACGACCGGAGAGAGATCAGGCGCAGGACCTACTATACTATACACACATATATATATATATATATATATATATATATATATATATATATATATATATATATATATATATATATAAGCTATAGCATCTCTGTTTCTAACATCGTGTAAACACACACAAAAATTACTCTAATTGTCTTTGAAGAGAACAATGAGTGTTAATAAAAAATAAAGTTTTAGGGATTTCACGGTAACATGTGGTAATCTAGTTTTTTTTGTATTTTAAATAGGTAAGCGACTCTGAATCTTAATCAATTTAACATAGTTAAAACACAAGAAACACCATCTGAACGCTGCATGGATAGTCATGTAATTACAGAATCGTTTTAGTATCATTAAAACAAATCTCAAAATGACTTATTCAAATTTCATAAAAAGGTAATACTTATATACACTATTTTTAAAAATTGATAGGGGCGTACTCTAATGGTTTGGGCACGTTGAACGAATGAGTGAAGACCGAATGGTGAAGAAAATATATAGAGCGAAAGTAAATATTAAAAGGTGTCGAGGTAGACCGAGACTAACTTTCGAAGACCATGTGAGCAAATTGCTCGAAGAGGGGAGGGTCAAGAGTACTCGGATACCTAGACGTGCATGTATGAAGAAGTTAATGAACCTGAAAGGAGCGAAAGAGGTATGTAAGGATCGTGACACTTGGCGATCTGTTCTCTTTGGCTACCCCGTTCGGGATGGTGCGTGAAAATAAGTAAGTAAGTACACTATTTTTAAAAGCGTATAGTAAAATTGGAATTAAAACCAAAATTATGTATAAATAAATAACTGTTAATTAAGTTAATAAATATATTAACTTAATTAACAGTTATTTAATGTCAGTTTGTTAGTAAATTAAAAACTAAATAATTTTGAATTAAAAAAATTAATTCAAATTCTCAACAACTACAGATACGACATAACCTCGGAGGACTTTACATCATCATCATAATTACCACCATTACGGCCCATCACAGGCCCACCGCTGGACATGGGCCTCACTCAAAGAATACCACCTGTGCCTTTCGACGTCCTGAATCTCTTACCAGGTCGTTATTCCATACAGTGACCATATAGTCATGAGCCATGAATATTTCGCCCTGTAATTTTATTGACTGACTAACTCTCTTACCCTTCGAATCAGAGGTACCACACTATAAGAACTCCCGCTTGTAGCAGATATAGTTAAAAGGATGGTACCCAGAGCGATTCCTAGTCAGTAAGTGCCCTTCCACCTAGCAAAAAACAATTACAGAGAATAGTCTAATAATGGCGCCTAACTCAACAGACAATTTTGCTCGGGGACAGCGGCGTTGGAAAGACATCGCTACTGGTGCAGTTCGAGACGGGCAAGTTTCAACCGGGCAATTTTTCTGCGACCGTCGGCATTGGTTTTACAGTAAGTAGAATATTTTTCACTAAATCACATTTTGGGTATATTTTTTCTGATTCACTTTTAAAGTGAATTTTATAATTGAGATAAGTTTAATATAATATTATATTAGTAATGTAATTGAAGATAATGTAAAACTATTATAATTTTATTTTTTGTATTATGTTACAAATCAATGTTCTTACCGACTAATAACAAAAATTAAAAAAAAATGCTTCATTTATTAAAAAAAGAAATATTATATTTTAATCTTGATATACAGTAAGTTTGTTACGCTATGCAGTTTACAATTATTATCAAAGCAAACAGTGATTAGCTATATACTTCTAACTAAATCTTTACCTTATCGCAAACTAGAGATGAAGAGATATGTACGTCCAGGTGCTTATGGTTTAAGGACGCTCTTCTAAGTGATCTCACGCTTAATAGCTGATATTACTTAGCTATCTTAGCTTCTAATCTTTGGTGAAACATAATATATTGGAAGGTTTCTTTTAAAATTTCAGATAAATAGTCTTAATATACATAATTAAAACAGAGGGCGAAATACCGATGGCAATAAATCCGTTTAAATCGCTGTAGCATTATCAATGCGAGTGTGTAGGTCCTAGTGTTTACAAATCCGTGATCCAAGAACGTGGAACGGATAAATCTTACAAGTAATACTTCGCAGTAAGCGTTCCTTGTAAAATCATATCTTAGTGCAGGCACCTAACGACTGTTGATGTCTTTTTATAAAAAGGTATAAATGACAAAAGTAAAAAGTAAAGTAAAGTTACAGCCTATATACGTCCCACTGCTGGGCTCAGGCCTCCCCTCATTTCTGAGAGGGTTTAGGGCAAGGAAGTGTCCGCCGCGCTGCCCAAATGCGTGTTGACGAACTTCACATGTCTTCGAAATATTTTTTTTCTTATTCCTCAGACATGCAGGTTTCCTCATGATGTTTTCCTTCACCGCCGAGCACATGGTAAATCAGCACTTAAAATTGCAATTAACAATTTCATTGGTGCCGGCGGGGATCGAACCCGGCTTACTCGCGTTCTGTTATATTTACAGCGAGCGTTAACCACTGAGCTACCACGGCTCTATATCTATATCTATAAATGACAAACAAGCACATAATCCACTTGATAGTGAGTAGATACGGTGGTCTGCATACACAAATATCTATCATGGATTAAGAATCAAATCGCAGATACGTTGTCACCCCTGAGGATTAATGAAACGACCCGTGACCCCTGGTGGAACCCCCATCACCTGTTCCAATTTCCCTCTGTCGCGTCTTGCAACACCCATGGGGCGATATGTGGTAGTGGATATACTTACACCGCCGCTACATTGCTTAACTTGTGTAATAGTTAGTGACCAGGACCTCACGGGTAATAACGCACCTGCATTTTGATTCTTTATCGAGGATAAATGTAGATGTCAATGGGCTACAGCATCCACTTACCATCAGGTGGACTGTGTGCTCGTTTGTCATCCCCATTCTATAAAAAATTTACATAATATAGACGCGTACAAATTGTTTTGCATCATCGTTTCTTATTGTTGTACAACAATAAGGGGTTTGGAACTCTTTGCCTGACCACTACTATTTGGGCATTTTCTAGGCTTACGTATTAGACTATATCACTACTTTAGATATGGTGACATCCTGGCCGTAAATAAACTAAACCGCATTTTACGATTGACAATTAAAAAAAATTAAATAATGAGACCCTTAGCAATATCCTCTTCACTGACCTTAATAGTCTCGTTGATGAAATGTTTACTGTCTGTCCTTTGAAGGTGAATGTTTTTCTAGTACATCCCAAGGGATATTAATTTGCATGATAGATTCCTACCTACGTGAACCATTATTCACACATAGTGAAAAAAAAAATAAGCTAGTCTTATTTAACAATTATATGTGAACAATTTTTGTATATAATGTAACTGGTTTGTCAACAAGGGCTGTAACGATTTGTACGAAATTTTGCATTTAGATAACGTTCTACTTTCCAAGTTTACCTACCTCTAGATAGGTGTCACCCATTCCTAATAATAAAAAATTCTTCAATGAGCAAAGCTCGATAGTTCAGATACTGCCATAATACGTTATTGGACTTATAACCACTGTCACAAAATAATTGACATCAATCATTTATTACCCGCTCTATAATGTATTCTCTTGAATATGTTTAATTGTCCTGATATTTATGATGCACGTATACATCATATATATCAGGACAATTATTAATCAGAGGATAAGCGACCGCCTTTCATTTCATTGTACGCGATAAAATCGAATTCGGTTCTCGCTAGTACCTTCGAAATTGTTTATTGCTATTTTAAGTGCTAATTTACCATCTATCTTAATATATATATATATATATATATATATATATATATATATATATATATATATATATATATATATATATATATATATATTAACGTGTCACGTTGTTTGTCCGCGATGGACTCCTATGTTATAACTACTTAACCGATTTTAATCAAATTTACACACCGTGTTCAGTTTGGTCCAACTTGAGAGATATGATAGTTTTTTTGCCCATGAGTGACCCACAATTTTTTTGGCGAATTTAAGGATTTTTAATAGGCCATGACAAAGGGTCGTCGAAAAGGGCAGAACAACGTCTGCCTGGCAAGCTAGTATGTCTATAAAATTAAAAGAAATATTCAAAGACGTATAAAGTTTACCAACGCACATTAGTGAAATATGGCAGTGATATTTAACTAAGATCACCCAGTGTTAAACATTTGAAATTGTGTGTATAAATATAGAAATTATGATGATCATCATCATCATCATTAGAGCCCTTAACAAGTAATGACACAAATTACGGTCTACTACGGTCAGGGAGCTATGAATGACTATACTCAGATATACCTATGGTATTTGTGATAGAATCCGTGACGATGATTATATCCGTATTCGAAACAGTGTAACCGACATAGCCCAACGGATCAGTAAGCTGAAGTGGCAATGAGCCGGTCATATAGTTTGACGAACCGACAACCGATGGGGAATGTTTTAATGTGGCAGCTTCGTACCGGTGATCGATGTGTAGGATGGCCCCTATTAGATCGAATGATAACCTGGTATATATATTTTCCTTGTTTGAAATATAAGGTCATACAAGTATCTGTAACTAAGCTTATATTAAATTGGAATATTGTAATTATAAATCACAAAGCTAACTCAAGAAAGATGTGCAAATTAATGATCTTATGAAGTATCGAGTTGATTACACGTACGAGGCTAGCATCTGAGCTTCGCTCGATTACGATAAAGTTGCGAGGCAAGTAATTACAGCATCAAACGGGCCTTTATACTCCAGTACCTTTAATAATATTCGTAGCTTAAGCGTCTCAATAACGTTAAAAATATTTTCTTGAAGGAATAAAGCCTTTAATTTAGTAAAATTTAGATCAAACGTATTTAAACATAATACACTCGTTCTTTTATAAGATAGGGAGATAAACGAGCACACAGCACCTGGTGGTAAGTGGTTGCTGTGAGATTTATATCCATCCTCGATTATACATTAAAATGCATATTTTTTGTCAACCTGAGGACTAAGATGGAATACCTTGTTTCAAGTAAAAAGGGTCTCCGGTTCTCTACACTCATCATACGAAACACAGCAGCGTACTACTATTTCACGCTGGTTTTTCGTGAGAGCGTGGTCATTCCCCGGTCGAGCCGACCAATTCGTGCTATAACTGTACTACTAATATAGCTGCAGCATAGCTCTACCACGTATAATTATTAAAAATATATTATATATATTAAACATCGTTTTTTATTAGCTTCGCCTCTATCTATCTATCTATCTATTAATCTAAATCTCTATAATCTATAAAATATCGGAATCTTTTTATGTGATTTTCACCAACTGCTTGACTTCAAACTTTGCAGCTTTATTAAGGACCGAAGACAAATACAATAATTTATTAATTTCTTCCTAGTATCTTGATCAAGATAACCAGGAAAAAATAAAATAATTTTCTGGATCATCACAGCTCACGATCATTGCGTGTTGTTTAAGTTTTTTTTTTAAATCTTATATCATTTAATAAAACTGACGTGAGAACTTACAGACCACCATGTGACTATTGCAGTATATTTACATGCGCACCCAACTTAAAATGAAGAAGGCTCTGTTACCACTTAGTGATGGATAGTCTTACACTCTTATTCGATAAAAAAATATTGGCTTTCTAATAACTTTCATTGACCGGAAAACAGCAGTAAAATCACTGATATTTGACAGAAATAACTTTGACGTTATTCCTACCTAGACGGACTCATAGGTACAAATAATTTTCACCACTTCGTAAAACCTAATGACAGTTTACCGTAGTACCAGGTTTTTGAAAAGTCACTCATTATAACTTCTAGTCATATTTATGGCTTCTATTTAACTCGCTGAGCAAAGAAATCCAAATTAAGTTAGTCTTTTATTAAAATAAATTTAAGGAAAGGGAAAACTAATCAGTTTCCTTGATGACTTTAAATATAAAATAAAAACAAAGGTCACGACTGAAAATATGAATTTATGTTCACTTAGAAATCATATTTTTATGTACCTTATTTTATTTGTATTTATATAGATGTGGCAGCCCTATTTCTACCCGATCGTAATCCTCCTTTAATTATCAGAGAGTATAGAGCGTATGTGGTCACGCTATTCAGTTGACCGATTTCATATAGACTTATATTAAGGCACGGTAATTTTATCTATACAGTATTCCAACTTCATACAAACGGACGAAGCGAGAGCTATACCTACGCGCCTCGATCTCGGCATGCGCTCGGCATGCAGACAGTCGAGACTGCCGCAGTGGTGATTTTGTAGAATATATAAAAAAATGGAGGAAATAAATAATAGAATAGAAATAAAGAAATAATTTAATTCATTTAAAACTAAACATATAAATTGTAAAGTAGCTGCAGGTATCTATAACAAAGTAAAAAATATTCCTTTTCTCCACCTTGTCCATGTTTCCCAAAACAATTTTTAATTAACCTTAATATTAGAATGCGGATTTTTTTTATAGTTAAAAATGTAATAATAAAGCATTTCGTAAGTCTCAGCCGAGGCGCAAATATTTTTCGGTCGCAAATTTATAACACCGCTTTGTTATTCAAACATAAACATGGTTTTTTAATTAAATCTGCCATTCAAAAAACGACACGCATTTTTATTGAACACTTCCTATTCAATTTTCAAAGTACCTATTTTATTTGTTTATATAAAAAAGTATATTTACAATCACAAAACTAAATGGAAACACAAAGTAGGCAAATGTAATGCTGGAGGCAGGCAGCCAAGCAGCCCTATCGCATGTATACGTACCGCGCGGCTGTAGGCATTTATATCAAAGATACGGCCGAGTTACAATACTGTATAGATAATATTACCGTGGTTAAGGCCAGATATATAGGCCTTGGAATAACTGCCGCCCGCGCTAAGAATTTGATAAAGGGCTCAAATCATATTTATTGTAGTTATTATTTTCTTCTTATTCTCCTTTAGTAATTCCAATATAGATTCAAACAGTCTTTTGAAAATGTATATCGTGTAAAGCAATGGTTAAAGTAATCATCGATGAAACACAATTATTATTATTAAAAACCTTTATACTTGAATACGAAATTTAAAAATTTCTGTTTTTATTTAATAAATTATTTCAATTTAAAAAGAGGAGGTTAAGTAAAGCATAATAATAAAAAGAACTGCGGTTGGCAATCCACCCCAGCGTGGCAACCCTAACAAATATTTCCTCTATGAAGTAATTTAAAGGGGAGGCCTACGTTCATCAGTTGAGTTTTGATGGATGTAATGATAGAATTCAATGTCGTTCAGTTACAAATTACATTTTGTGAATAAATAGTATAAATTGATTACGTCAAATAGATTGATTTTATTTAATTTCCTCTAACAAACTTCTATGTACAATTTTGTAAGTAATATTGATTTCAAAAAATGATAGCGGAAATGAGATTTTCAATTAGGAAAGGTGTCTGTAAACATTTTAATAATAACGCTTAACGCAGGTTTTATTACACTCAATGTTTCTTGTAAACTTTACTGAAAATAATTACAAATAACTTTTGATAAATCCAAATGTGCATGCATTTTTAAAGTATTTTAAAGACACACAAGTTTTCACTAATAACCTTATATCTTCTTAGTTCGATTCGATTTTTTTTCGGCACATTATTTTAATTATATATATTTAATTTATTACAAGCAAAACTAACTCGAAAGAAAAAGGCCTCTGGCAGGCAAGTGTGAACTTATTCCAGCAGATTTCAGTTTTTTCCCCACAGTTTGTGTGCTTACTGTTACTTCTCGACCTTCTTGGAGACACGTTCTTAATTCCGAAGTTAAGGTGCGGTTTCTAAGCACGCTGGTCACGATACACGGATCATCTCTCGCAACAGTTTTCCGTTTACGTCGTCTCCGTCTTGCGAGTCTCGTATACTGTTCAGTCTGCCGATACCTCTTTGGGCCACATGTTTATAGGTGGACCCAGTTTCAATTTAAGTAACAGCTCTAGCAACTTGAGTGGCGTGTAGATCTAGCATTCTCAGTTTATTTACAGTGACAATTCACATTATTCACATAAATCTAAGCTCAAATCGTAAATTGTGCAAATTTTTTCACAGTATGAAAGAACACAATGATTACGATAATTACAATGTAATAATTTGTCCACGAGTATGTAATCTATGCATAAAGATTAATTATTAATTATTGTAGATTGCATAAATTATGCTCTTTGTTGACGTTCATACTGCGAGTCTGTACATGTCTCAGAGTAAAAACTATGTATCAAGAGTATATTACCACAAAGTTTTACAATATATGTTATTACTCTAAGGCAAACATTTAATATTCTGTGGTTGACAGTTGCACAGAGTAGAGACTGTTGCCTAACTATATGTTAAATATACACAAAAGTATATAATATATAGTTGCACAGCGGTGTGGCGGTGAAGAGAAAGAATACTTCGATACATTTTGTCCCGTGGATACCGTCAAAGATGACTGTAGGATAAGCTAAAGTGATTTTATGGCTTCGGATAGATGATGATATACTATTTCGTTTACGCCAGATGCAAAATAGGCGACGGGTAGCGGCGTTAAAGATGCAAGATGGCTGTTGCGGAGATCGACAATGCCGAGCTGGATAATTAAGGCTATAATGAGGGAAGCTCAGTTCTAGCAATGGATATATACCAGCCGATAAATAAAAAGTCAAGAGAAGAATTCGCGTTATGTGTTAGTTCGCGACCTGCATCATTATCCATTGCCTAGCTAGCAGCTACTACTTTCGCTTTTGTTTAAAATGCTCTCATTTACTAAATTCTTAGAGCTTTCAATATAACTTTTTAATACTTTGTGACATACAAATGTTCCTAGTTGTAAATAAATAAATAACTCATTTACTATTTAGAAATATTTAAATAAGCTATCACTTTTATAATTTACTTGTTAGTGCGACCCGAAATGCCTGAATCCGTATTTTCGTTAGCGTCATTCGCCTTGCGTCGGTTTCAAAGCGCTTTGATAGAGTTTTAATCAAAACTTTTAGCAAAACAACATTTTGATCAATGACATGACAAAGTTTTACTTTATATCATGCTGGGTAATATAAAATTTCTATTAATTTATTATAATTATTTGTGAGTGAAATACTTTAAAAAATAAAGTTTGTAGTTGTTTCAGAATATATGAGCACATTCGTTTATCCAAATCACTTAGTTGGAGTTACATCAAGTGATAATAATCGCACGTTTCTGTGGAATAGTTTACTACCGGCGATTTTTTCGGACCGATACGACCTGGGGACCTTCAAGAAAAGAGCTTACTCCTTTCTAAAGGGCCGGCAACGCACCTGCAATTCCCCTGGTGTTGCGGTTGATCATGGGCGATGGTAGTCACTTAACATCAGGTGAGCCGCATGCTCGTTTGCCCCCTCTTCTATAAAAAAAAACGTATGGGACTAATGAATGTGTGCTCTGTACTTTTATTGCTACAATACGAAAATTGCTAAAATATCCAAAAGTACACTTGACTTGTAGTAAACGAACATTTAAAGAATAAGATTCAGTCGACCTTGTTTCCCAGTGCGGGCTCTAAGTAACCACTCGTGTTTCCAATATTAAACGTGCTGGGCTAAGTTGTGTAACGTGTGGTTATGTAGAAACTTTAATGTATAACATGATTGATTGTTGCACATTTTAGAGAGTAAAATTT